AATAAATGAAAACGTACGTGAGATCTCATATGATCCCGTCGTATTTTTATTTAAAAATACGTAAGCATATGTTTGAATTAGATAGATTAATTATAATAAATTTTGAACAATTATTCTCCATTCTTAACCATCTTCATTTTTTTGTTATCTCTTTTGCATCATCCTTTTCTTTTACTGGTAAAAAGATAGGATGAAATTCAATGAAGATGATCTTGATATTACGATTACTATGCATAGTATATGAGAATAATGGTATAATACTTTGATTAATTTGATAAAACAGATATTGCCAGGTCAGCAAAGTACTGTTGAATGAACGTATGAAAATGAAAATAGAATGAAAATGAAAGACGGTAGACTCGTTGCCGACGGGGCGTTCGTCTCGCGACTAAACTCGCAGACCAATAATTAACGTGCACGACAAACAGTATTATCGTCATTGCCTGATATTATTCCCATTATCTTATACGCACCGACGGCTATGTGCTTAATGATTAATAAAATATTATCTGCGCTCTCTCGGTTATATCTCCTCCTAACGTCGAATAGTTTCGTCTTGGACTTCGCGAGGAACACGACGTTTCCTTTCCTTTTTTTCCCTTTCTCAATTCTCTGTTTTTTTCTCCATTTTGTTTTTGTCCTCATCTCCACCAACCCATCCCATCAAATTGCGAGAAAATAAGAAAAATATAGTTCTCTCGTAATGCGTGGACTCCGACATGTTTCATCGTCAAATGAGATCGATCATTGTGAAGTGTTGATACATGTATAATATATAAATATGATATAAGAAAAAAAAAAGAAACAAAAAATAAAATAGAAAAAGAAAACTAATCAAGAACGAGAAAAATCCATGTGAGTGTGCGCGAAAAAGAAAAATGGCGGAGCACGAAATTAATTGTCCCCGATGTACTCGACGATATCGAATTTTTTATTTTTTATGATATCGATCCGATCAATCAATCGATACGATCACGTTGTACCCTACTCGGGATTTTCCATCGTCAAGGATACTCCACGATTTTTTAATTTATATATATATATATATAATACAAAACATCCACGTACGCTCGCATAAGCAAAAAGAAATCGAAAAATTGATTTTACCATGAAATTTGATGAAACCTGAGTTATCTAAAATTATTATAATGATATGTAAATGATCATAATAAAATGATTTCTAAGAGCGTGATAGTGTCGAAACGCGTTTCGTCCAATTTGGAGAAACCAAAAATATTATATATATATATATCGAACGGGACATAAATCACGATGTAAATCGATGAAGAAAGAAAAAAAAAGAGAGAGAGAGAGAAAGAAAAAGAGAGAGAATCTGCGTTTAGGTTGAGTCGCATAGGCTTCCTCGTACGCGAAAACACAAGTGTGTGCTTGAGTTTGATCGTACATAAAACACAAGTGTTTCGTATTCGTGCACGCGTTTGAACGTTCGATATTCTCTTCCCGTCGATCTCATTCGAGTCGTTCCCGTTCTCTAATTCGTGACCTCGATCGGTTCTTCTTTCAAGAAGAAAAATGAAGGACATCGATGAAGGAAAACGACGAAAATATATTGAGACATCGATATTTTTTCCTTTTTTCAATAACAATAATATCTTTCGACAAAACGAATATTACAAAATTCAAAATAAATTCTGTAAGACTCATTTAGATCATTATAACACAATTGCTTTTCTTATTTCATTTTTTTTTTTCTTTTTCTAGATATTTTCGTTATCGAAACAACAAACGATTAGAAAGAAAGGAGGAAGAGTTAAAGGAAACGTGACAAAATAATAAGAAAATATATTTACAGAAAAAAAAAAAGAATAATGGAGAACACATCGACCGGAGCAAGAGCAAACAGAAGAGCACGTGCAGCTTCGTCGCGTATTGGTATGTTTCCTCTGTGGATTCTCCCTTTTTTCTACTTTCAAACTATTACCGATATATCCGTGTTTATCGTAATATAAGTATTTAAAAAAAAAAAATAAATAAAAATTAAAACATGAATGTCTTTGCAAATATGGAAAGTGGTTTCGATATTCGAGAACAATTTTATTTACTTAATTAATAATAACAATAATCAAATAAACTAAATAAAAACGTAACTTACGTTCGTGACGGCTCCGTTAGTAGAGGATAAAATATGAACAGCAAGAGTCGTCGTACTTGCTCTCCTTTCAAATGAGATTTTTCCGAAATTATCTTTTTCTCTATTTCACTCCTTTATTTTCTTTTTATTTTCTTCTTAAAAATCTTCTCTCTTTCTCTCTCTCTCTCTCTCTCTCTCTCTCTTCTCGAATTTTACTCTTTAATTTTTTTAAATTTCTATTTTAAATATTTTATGAAATTTTCTTTTTATTAATTCGCTCCCTCTCTCTCTCTCTCTCTCTTTCTCTCTCTGTCTCTCTCTCTCTTTTTTAAAATTCACGTCAACAGGATGAAATTTTGTCTAACTCTTTTTTGTAGCACTCTTTCCATGCGCTCGTGCGTCCGCGACGCCTCGCGAGTGTTTGCGCTTGACACAGGTGCGCGTTAACTCTTTCCAAGGTGGGTGCACGAGAGTGAGCAATATAAAATGAGAAAAAGAGATAGATAGATGGAGAATTGGATGATACCGCACCACGGCTGCCGCCTGGTAGCGTCGTATCGAAACTACGATTCGGTCCGAGTCCCCTTCAAATATTGATCGACAATCACCACCTTCTGTCCACTACTCACTTTACCCTTTTTTTTCACCTCGGCGCCATTTTGTCTATATATACCTCCCTTTTCTACCACCATTTTTATTCTCTATTTATTTTTGGTATTTTTTTGATTTATTCACGATACATTTATTTACATAAACTTTCGTGTTTTTTTATCTACATGATAATATTTGAGGTTTTGGAATATTTTTAAGAAATTCATTTAATAATTTACAACAATTATTGATTTGCATCATAATTTGCAAAAATATTTTTCCATTGAAACTTTGTTTATTTAAATAACTAATTGTTAGTTTGATCATCGATAAATGATCTAATTTGTACATAAATTGTGTAAAAGGTATTTTATATCTCTGTTTTCGTATCGTTCGAGCTTGCACAGACAGGATGTCATCTTCGAAGAACATGGAATTTATTATCGAAAGTACACATGATGATATTTTATATCTTCTTTAGTAATCCTTTATCGATGCACCAAACTTTTTCGTCACCTTGTTTACAATCAGAATTATCGTTATATGTTCTCAGATCATAAATCCTGTGATCCATCCATCTGAGAACGAGGAAAGGAGAGTAAATACTTTCATTTTTTCTTATCATTTCGTAAAAATCTTTTTTTCGTTTCATAGCAAAATCTCAATGATCTATATATACATATATATATATATAAAACACATTTTGTTTTTTGAAATATTCTCGATGTCATTTTATTCGCGGTAGTTTGATTGACGAAAATGTGACGCCATTTTGTAATCACCTGTACTAATTCGTAGGATTGAAGAAAGTAAACAAGAGCAAAGTAGTACTCAAACTCAACGCAACATTTTTTTCCTCTTTTTTTTTTATACATATGTTTCTCACGTATGTGTGAGATAGCGTTACATGTATAACCAACTAGAATCAGTGTTGAAGATTTTGTTCTCTTTTGGTCGAGAGAGACAATCTGGCGCATGCCCGTAGATGAGTGGAACGCATCGAGAATGGAATCTCTCTTATCAAAGAAAGGGGAGACGTTGTTATAGTAACGGAGCACAAACACTGGATCCCTCCGTTTTAAGAGTGCGACACATTCAGGTGAGACGGCCATTATTGTTAAAGAAGCAGAAATGAGATTGACACGAGTGATTCTCCATTTAGGTCAATAGTTTCCATAATTTGAACTAACAATAAAATACACCGTCAAAAATTACTCAATATTTTCCCCTACTAAAAAAGCCTTTCAAATTTTTCCCGCCTTTATCGTCAGTTTAACTTACTCGATCGATAACTTGCTTTTGAATCGTATAATTTGATTTACTTTTATATTTGTTAATTTTGAAGGTATGCGTACAAGTTTAATAATATTATTAATGATAATTTATAATTATCATTTACTTACCCATGATTTGCGATATATTATCATATCCAATCGTTTTATAAATGAATTAAATGTAAATTTAATAGTCGTTAAACTTTTCTTCATTAATGTTTATATCACTCACACACATCCAATCTTAGAACTTTGACAAAAACAATTAAGAAAAAATAACGCTATTAGTAATCTTTTAAATATACCCTTTTATTTAAAAATAATTGAAATTACCTGATACAACACTCTGAGAAATATATTAACATGTTTGTTGGTCAGGTAAAATGTATAGAATTTTTTAATGGTGTCTGTGCGTCCGTGATTACATTAACAAACGGCATTTACTGTATCGTTATAAACTATTATTTTATTTATAAAGATTATTGATAGGTTCTTGTACTCTAACAATCAATCGAAGAGAGAAAGTTTATGCTTCGTTCTTATATAACGATGATAATTACTTTTAATATCTTAAGATAATTATTATTAAATCTTACAAATAAAAAATAAAATCAAGAGATAAAATTTGAACGCTTAAACATATTTTCTATAATTATTTACAAAGTTCAAAAGTGTCAGAGTCGATTGTGTTATTTGTCTTGGAAAGCTGCTTTTTAAAAATTCTTTTTTTTTCTGGTGAAAAAAAAAGAAATAAAAGAGAAGATTAAAAATAAAGTTAAAAATAAAAGTACAAAGTAAAGAAAATTTGACATTGACTCTGACACATTTCCTATACATATTGACCACTGTTTACAAAGAAAAGAAGAAAAAAAAAGAATAAGCGATAACTTTTGCACATCTTCACGTTATCGTACGTCCCGAAGCTCAAGTTTATTGAACTCTCATCATTTTGGTCGAAACAAAATCGACACTTTCATTAAAAAATTTAAAAAAAAAAAATTAATTATTTTTGTTTGTTTTCGCTTTACTTTTCTTTTCTTGTTTTTTTTTTTCTTTTATGCATGCTTTTCTAGTTTTCAATAAATGTACATAAAAAAAATCACCAAACTTACATTTCTTAGAAAGTAATTTTGATTTAAAATTTAAGAAAAAAAATATTACCAAGTATTTATTTTTGTTCCAATAAAATCTTTGAAATGTGTGCGTAGATACTCCGAAACTGTTCGTAAAAAATATTTTCTTAACTTCATAAAAATGTGAATAATAGTAAAATTAATATATATTTTGGAACAAAAACAAAAAAAAAAGAAGACATAATATTCAGACTTATAATGATATTTACAAGAACCTTAATTAACACCATCCACAAAACATTATATACACACATTTCTGAGATACTTAAGTTTTACTTATAATTAAACATTACGTTACAACATTTAACGTTGAAATCTAAATTAATATTTTTTAAAATTGCGAAATATTGTACGGCTCTCAAGGCGTACAATGTTTTCCATATATAAAAATATTTTTTATAAGTACTTTTAGAAAAGTTACTAGTACTTTTAAAATTACTTTAGAAAAGTAATTATAAAATATATTTTATTATCTAACTTCTTATTCTTCAAAAAATGTAACAAATAACAGAATAACCCACATTAAAATTTAACTATTTCCGAAACAAACAATTTGATTCTTTTTTATCAATTCTCATGAAATTTGTCAATTTTGATAAAAAAGTTTATTTATAACTGTCCTGTTTTTTTTTTTTTTAACTTAAATAATCGTTAAAATCAATAACGAAACTACTAGTATCAAATTTAAAATTATTTACGATAAATAACAACTCTACATGATGTCTACAGAATCGAGATTGTCATTTTTATAATCATTTTTATAATCACTTTTTTAATGAGCTTTGTAAGCTGAGATTTGTTTTTATAAATTTTTTTTTTCAATAATCTCATCAATAATGTGAGATTTTTAAGATGATATCGAAACAACGGTAGGTCTTTCAAGATGCCCATTGTCCAACATGATCTTACTACCTGCTGGACTAGGGGAGGAATTCCCAAGAGTGACAATATGAGGTGAGGTAAGTTGATGATGATCGGGTGAATGTCCTGCTGACATCATTCCTGGTGAATGAGTTGCACAAGGTGGTGAGGGACACTCGATTTTCGGTGAATGAGTTTCCATGAGCTGCTGATGCTGTTGTTGCTGTTGTTGTTGTTGTTGTTGTTGAGAATTAATCATTTCATAGTAAAGACTATTAGGTGCTGTTGGGCGATAGGAGACCAGACGATTGCCAGATTGTGGACTACTACTATAAAGAGTATTGGCATATGAGACTTGAGGAACTGAGTGGACCATCCTCAAATCAAAGTTGTCTGTAAATTGAAACAAAATTTTTCATTAATTTATAAACATACAAATAATTATATATCAAATCATCAAATTTAGAATATTTTTATTTAACGATAACTGTCCGCTAAACGAATCATTCCTTTCTCCGTTTATTTCTGGAAATAGAAAAAATAAAAGAAAAGAAAACTATGAAAATTGGCATACACCTTTACAGTTTGTACTATTTTTTTCTTTATTCGTGAAACGAATGAAAGCAGGTCAGTTATCATTGTAAGTATGTATGTGTATGTAAGTACAATAAGTGCAATCGCGAATGATGTTTACCGTTTGAAATAGTCAGTTAATCGTGGGAAATGAAACTTGTTTGAAGATAGAACTTACCTGGTTCTTGCTTTAAGTCGTTGCTCGTGCATATTCCACGTTTGATAGTAATGGGAGTATCAGAAGACTTCATGCCACCTTTGGGCTTACGCTTACGAGTCTGAATGCTATCTTTCTTCATCGTTATCGGCCTATTGATACCATGTAGTTTGTAATAGAGACCACAAGCATTGCAAACTGGCTCGCCCAGGGAATTTCGTCGCCACAATGACGTCATAGTCGTTTGACAATTACTACAAGAGAGCCCTACGCGCCTTGAAGCTGACTGCGGAAAGAAAAAGTTGATTAGTCGATTAAGTTATTTGATTTTTCTCTTATTTTTCCTTCGTCAAGTTTCGTCGTTGGATACCAATAAATCCAATAACGAGACACGATTCCAGAAATAGAGAAAAATTAGACTTCAGTTTCGAGAGAGAGAGAGAGAGAGAGCAGGATTATTTTCTATTACAATTAATTCTTGTATCAAAATTTTGATCCTGCTCTCTCTCTCTGCCATTGATCTTCGTTAATTTAATAAGAAAAAAAGAAAAAAAAAGTATCAAATAAAAAGAGAGGGGAAAAAGGCCGCTTGCACAGTTCCACAAATTATAATTTGCGACACAATACTCAAAAGTTTTATTAACGTGTCCTGCTAAATGGAAATTTCATTAAAAGATCTAATATATCGTAGTGGTGATCTCAGGTTAAGCCATTTCTGTGCAAGGGACAGACATTTCGCGTTTAAAGTAGGAAAGAAGACGGACCACACTCTCACCTCATAAAGTTACTCACGCGTGCCTGTAAAAACTGAACTATCTAATAAGCTAGAAACGAAGATAATTTTTTGATATTTTATTTTTTTTATTTTTGAATATTTTATTTATATAATGTTTGAAGAAACTCTTGACAAAATATATCATAATGATCTATATAGATCGTCAAAACATTTGAAACGGCTAATTAAACAGGCTGCGCGTGATTTCAGGAAGGAGAGTGCTTGTGTACCATGGGTATAGTGGCACCTCGAAGCTACGACGGAATTTCTACGAGAAAGAAATATTGATTGTGAAAAAGAGAAAAGGAAAATGGTACAGGTAAAGACAGAGACAGAGACAGAGACAGAGACAGAGACAGAGACAGAAACAGAAAGAGAGAAAAAAAATGGACACACGAATAAGGGTAGTGTGATTTAAAGAAATAAATAAAAAAAAAATAAATATAAAGTAGATGAAATAACAAGAGATATAATATTAGTGAAATAAATAAATAAAAAAAAAATAAATAAATAAATAAAAAGAAAAAAATATGAAATGAAAACAGAGGGTGTGGTGCACAATTGTGAATTACATATCAAAAAATAAAAGGATTCAGGAAAAGAAGTTAATAATATGTAATAAAAGGAAATAGGATAAAACTAATTGTAAATAAGAAATAATTGTTAAAGGGAAATGAGAAAACAAAGAAAAAGAGAGTGACAGAGTGCTGAGTTGGGGGATGACACCTACCAAACGACGGCTCGATTTCTCCTCGAAGGGTCGAGGGGCACCACTATACCCACAGAAGCCTTTGTAGAATTCACCCTGATCCGCCACTGAAACAGACAGGAGGCCAAACGTTAGAGGTTTTGGTTTCTTTTATTCTTGTCCCAGGAGTACGAGTTGAAAAGCGTACTTCTTTCTTCCTTCCTTCTTTCTTTCTTTTTTTTTTCTTTCTTTCTTTCTTTCTTTCTTTCTTTCATTCTTTTTTATTTTCTTCTCCGTTGTTTGTATTTTTTGTTGTTGTTGATAAATATTTCTCTTTTTTTTTTTTTAGTTTATTTTGGTTTGCTTTTATTCCTTAGTCAGGGAAGCAACTTGTACGAAAAGGAAAGAGGTAGTGGAGGGAGGAAAGGATTTAAACCAAATTCGCGATAAGTTAACGTCGACATTTTTCTTCCTATTTTGGCTTTTCTGTTTTATTATTATTTTATTTATTTTTTCATGAATGTAAGACAATAGGAGAAGGAGAATAATAACAATGAACGAAAAATGTCCGTCTTCTATACACCACAGGCGAATTTCCACATAGGCTCCTGGACACCACGAGAAAAAAGAATTACTGAATCTTTTTTCTTCTTCTCATTTCTTTTCGCATCCCCCTCTTTATGATGTTCTCACGCACTCTTTGCCCTCTCTTTTTTGATTAGCTTTCTCTTTTCTAGAGATTCTATGTTATGACAATATTTTGCAGCCAACGGTTTGAAAGACACAAAGTAATACTCATAATCGTTCATATATTATTTATTATTTTTATCAAGTAAGAAATGTAAAAAAAAAAAACCATACTAACTTAGAAGCTTCAAGATTTCAAATGACGATAAAATAAAAAGCTGTGTTAGAGAAATACAATGAAAGGCAAAAAGGAAACAAAAAATCATTGAAAAAAATACGTTAAGGAAAAATTGAAAATAAAAAAGATGACAACAAATTAAGAAGAATAGATCTTTTAGTATTATCCAAATCATCGGCTTGCAAAAATTGTCATCCCTCCCTACCATCTCAGTGGGTCCGTATTCTTACCAGACGACGTGGTTGTTTCACCAGAGGTCGATTCATTCCGTTCATCTTGTGGTAGAGACCGCATGCGTTGCAGAGGTAGTGTCCGGTACCGTCCCTTCGCCATAAGGGTGTGGAAATTGCCCCACAGTTCACGCACTCGCGGCCCTCCGTAAAGTACTCCGCCTCGATGTTGTGCACTGTGTTGGCATTATTTTGGTTTTTTTGTTTGCTTGTTTTATTGTATTTTTTTGTTTTTTGTTTTCATCTTTTCACAATCTTTCCGTTTATGTTTTTTATTAATTCATTATTTTATTTACTTGTTTTTTCGTTTTGTTCGTGCGTGTAGAAGAGGAACACGTTTTAACGAGAGGAGATAGGGATTTGCAAGAGAAAAAAAAAAAAAAGAAAAAGAAAAGGTAAATGAACCTTGCGGGAGTGGCTCGTGTATCCGCGTAAATATTTTTTGTTTTCTTTTTTACTGGATTAACTCTGGTTTTTTTTTTCGAAAAGCAAACGAATCGATAAATAAATAAATATATGTGTGTTTAACACGGACTTCCGAATGATGAGTTTTACCTGATTTAGTTTTGACTTTATGTTGTTGCAATTTCGCAAGAGAGAGAGAGAGAGAGAGAGAGAGAGAGAAAAAGAAAGAGAGAGAGAGAGAGTATGTGTGTATTATGCAATGTAACGTACGTGCACCATCGTATATGGCCTCCTTCCACTCTTTTAACTTGGAAACAATAATTGTCCACGTTCGTCCAAAGTGGTTTCTCCTTCTCTCTTTTCCCATTTATACGTGAGCATGAATATGCATACTTCCACACGTTTTAATACTCAATGACGTATATAACATGCAGAATAGAGGAAAAGAGAGAGAAAATGAGAGAAAGAAACGTGATATTCCACGAGTTCGTTCTATTATCATTTTTTTGTCTCTCCTTCTTTCTCTTTCGTTATAATAAAAGAGCAAAATGATTTTTTTTTTTTTTTTTTTTTTTTGATGAAAAATGTAAAAAAAAAGAAGATACGAAGAATCAATTGCTACTTTAAAAAAAATTCACATTCACAAAAAATATGGGAAATTATCGATGAATTTGTTTTTTTTTCCCCGAGTTTCCTCAGTACTTTTCCTTTAACCTCGATCACATTTAGATTCAATGATAATATTTTCTGTTTTTTTGTGAAAGAACTTAACGATCCTATGAAAAAAAGAGTTTAATCGAATTGATCGAACAATATCACAATTTATCGATAATGTTGATGAAAAATATAAAATTCTATCGATCGATCGATATGATATTGAATATAAATAATAAAAAGTATCAAAAGGATGACTGTTAAACAAGAATGACGACTATGAAAATATGAAATAAAGGAGGAAAAAGGGATGTAGGACGCAGGAAGTAGGATATGAGGAAGGGGAGTATATACGTAGAATGACGGACATGGCTTTATCAGAATTTCCGGTGTTTGCCGATAATAGTTCAGTACAAACTGAAGAATCACCTCGGTATATATATACTTCGTTCGTTCAACCAACCAACCAACCAACTAACTCTTTGTTCGTGACTACCTGAATTTTTTTTTTTTACACAAATTTAATGTCAGAAATAGTTCGATTAAATTTCTTTGATCGAATCAATGCACAAACTCGAATTTTTATATTATTCATAAAGATAATTCATAAAATTGAATTGTGAAAATAAACACTTAAATTAAATCAAACATAATTCTTACGACAAAAAATATGCGAAATAAATAATTTCACTTTAACAGGACGCATGATCAAACAAAAAATTATTTACACATATGAATTTTTCGTTATATTCGATGGATCTATAGATCTCCTCTTTAATTGATCGCATTGCATGAACTATTTTACGTTTAAACGTCGTAGATCATTTTTCTTGGTATTAAAGCGACACACTCCAAGAGAAATAGAGACAGAAGAGAAAGATCTCACATCTCGCATTATTCGACGAATGAAAAAGAGAGAGAAAGTGAGAGAATAAGAAGAGGACGAAGAGGTCAGTGGACGGTACTCGCACTGACGACAGAAATCTGACTGGAAAGCAATCGGATATCGTGTGTAAGTAAGCAAGAAGTTGCTGACGCTGAATGAGTCCTACGAACTCTACTAACTCTCTCGGTCTGCATACTCTGACAGATTCAAAGCTGGTGTGCCGAGCTTTGATAGAATCAAATTGCGTTCTCGCGCCTTTATGACGCCACCTTGACCCACAAATAACAAACCTAATGAGCCATTAAACTCATCATCCCTCAAAACAAAAACAACATTTTTCTAAAATCAAACAACGTAATACGAAATCATTTCATTTCAATTAGATATTATTTCATTGTAATTATTTATTTGTTTATCTGTTTTATACATATACGGTAATTTATTACGTCTAATGAAATTATTCTCTCACGCTAGTATAAGTAATATCTTTATTTTCATAGAAATAAAAATTGAGTTATAAAAAGTTAACATTTAAATCAATGAAGCATATTACGTTGTTTTTTTACGTTGAAGTAAAAATAACGACGATGAGAAGAACTAATCGTAAGAAGTAAATGACAAGATGAAGAAAAAGAAGACGAAGAAGAAAAAGAATAAGAAGGATGAGAAGGTTTGTATCAAGTTACCATTGCCATGGCGAAAACAACGGCGAAGAGGTCAGAGGACACGAGAATCTGCTAAAGAAGATAGGGGGCAGAATCGGACTGGGAAGCCATTGGATATTATATAAGCTGAACTAGCATGAACTAGCTGACATAGTGGATTAAACGATCCTCCCTTCTCCTTTTCATTTTCTCTTTCCTCTCCCCTTTTCTCTCTCTTTCTCTTATTTTTTTTTTTTTTATTCTTACTCCAAAGGAAAACGTACAAACGTATGGTCAAGTTGCACGCCCACGTTCATGCGACACCGTTGATAACCTTGAATTTTTGTCTCTTTCTCATTCTAAACATTCTCTCTTAGCGTTTAATAAAACAGAAATTTTAACACGTTGACCCATAAAGAATTACGGTGGTCATCAGTGACACAGGAACGTTTCAAATGTTTAAATAATTGAAATAAAATGATTAACGACAATTAACAAACGTTGAACGTCAATAAGAGAATACTATTACGAATATAAAAAATGCACTATTCAATAATAAAAAATGTATTATAAAAAATTAAATACGATGTATTATTCTCTTGTACTTTCCCGAGACCATAATGCAAATCTGACTTGATAGTCAACGTATTGACAATTCATAAATAATAAAACATTAAATAAATTTGATTAATTTTCATAAACATTCCTACCGATCACAATTTCTGATCTCCAAGTGGAAAATAAATATATCGTTTGAATATTTATAGGTTAGCCGAACAGCTGAAGCTTTAGGAGGAAAGCAAGTGGTTTGTTAATTTGAGCTTGGCCACGTGCAGGGCTCCTTCAGGATGATGCATGATGGTACGTTAACACACAAGCACACATCTAAACGGCACATGTACACACAAACTTATACAAATTTCGATCGAAAGAGAAAAGAGAAAAAAAAGAAATTAATAGGAGGATGACTGGAAGCTTCTTCTTCTTCTTCTCTTTTCTCTAGGTGGGTGTCTGCTTGCGGTTAAACTTAAATCGAAAGATTCGACCACGTACAGAACACTCAAGTAGGCTGCTGCTAGCGGTATGTTAGAAGTGTCTTTAGTCTCTTGCTTCTGGCCTTTTGAACGTATACTCCTCTCTCACTTTCTTTCTCTTTCTTTCTTTCAATTGTGGCATGTGTAACCACAGAGACTCGAAACACCCTAAAGAAGAATCACTTAAAGCTTTCTAATGTCTCTCTCTCTCTCTCTCTTTCTCTCTCTCTCTCTCTCTGACTTGCTCCCGCTCTCTTTTTCTTTCATTCTAACTATCCTCCACCTCAAAAACTTGACTCTACCGTGCGTCCTGCGAAAGAAACTAAAAACAACACCCCCAAGATTCTCTGTATTAAATCTACGTGACAGATCCGTGATGACCTTGAAACTGTCAAAGTTAAACCAACGATATTTATATATATCTATCAATGATTTCTAAATCAAACCGATTTCATTAAAAATAAACGTAACCGAATGATACGAATCACGCGGTGTAATTACTTTGAAGTATATCCCTTCGGTGTGACTCTTTTTTAAAGTGGAGAGTAAAAAAAAAAAAAATGAAGAAATGAAGAAGTCAAAAGCACTTGACAGAGAAACGCATGGGAACGATGCAGGGAAAATTTTCACTTGGCGAACAAATTACTTTGGTGGATGAAAAAAAAAAAAACAAATAAAGTGTATAAAACGAAAAAATACATTTTACTTCAACGTCTGTACCCTTTTCTTTTCATTTCTTTTTATAATCGAGGATTTCATCATCGGTTCAAAAATAAAAAAAATCGACCTCTGTGAACTCGTTCGATTCTTATGTTTTTTTCTCTTTCTTTTTTTTCAGTACGGTGATATCAGCATAAAAATAAGTAATTATTGTATCTACGAATATGTTGAAAATTAGGATATTAACTCAAGTTATCGCGTTTAATTTTTATCTCTCAAGTTGAAATAAAATTCTCTCACCAATGATCGTATAATTTACTCGTATGATTCGCAACTTAATCTTCGCAACTTACAAAAAAAAAAAAATAAAATGTATCCCATCATTTAATTTTCATCGTCAAATGATTTAACGATTATCGATAACGAGTGATAACGTGTAAACATGTAATTAAACGTAAAAAAAATAAAATATACTATCTTATTTTTTTTTTTTTTATTTATTCAAAACTCGGATTGTATTATATTTTGTTTGAATTTCTTTTTCCCTTTTTTTTTTTTATTTAATTTACTTATACAATAAGATCAAATCTTAACACGTTCTATGATGACAAAAATTAATTCGTTAAAAAAAAAAATAATAAAAAAAAATAAATCAGTGACGCTATGATGTTTTGTGACATCATAAAAGTACCGGTCAAAACCGATTAGATATTTTAGGTGTTGCACGATGCTTTGGAAACGTATATAATATATCAAAAATTATCGCAAACAGTCGCGTGTCCACGACTAGATACAGCCCTATCGTTACCTCTTATATCGCCTGTAGACATAACTAGATTAGGTAGCAAACGTTTTACCTAGGTCAGGGTCGAACCAATGACTGGCCTCAATATATTGTATATAAGTTCTTAGGTATTCTTTAGGGTCTGACGTCATCGACAAGGTTTTGACTCATCAGGTGTATGTCGTGTGAGAAAATGATGATATGACATTTATCTCGATTGGTATATTTTTCAAGCAACTTCTAATGATACTTTATTTTTATTTTTTTTTTTTTTAATAAGAATGCAAATGAATAAAATAAATTAAAATCATTTAATAATCGATCGAATAATTCAATATATTATTATTTTCAAAACGAATCATTTGAAAATCGACACACAAGATTTCTCAATTTTTTTTTCTTTTTTCGAAAAGCATGAAGAAAATTAAATAAAGATTTGTGTTTGTATCGTAATGATGGATCAATTGCAACTGAACCGAGACGCAGATAAATTTTTGGGTTTATCTCAGAGAGGTCTCGATAAAAAAAACTCCGAATAAGTCTTTACCAATTCGTTCGACTTGGAGAAAGAAAGATAGAATTTAAAAAAAAAATGGTATTTCTACAAGAAGAATATATCAACCACGCGATCACATATCGAAGAAGATGTAAGAAATAAAGAAAAGGTAGAAGAGAAATTTGAAAATTTTCGTTCTCTCGTTTAGGATTTATTTAGTGAGTTAGAAAAATTAGTTGTAACGATGAGAATATAGAAACAACCACCCTAGTAACGGTCGATTTAAACCCACCAACACACAAAAAATGGGAAAACATCGTATCCTTTCCTTTCCTTCTACCATTCACCTAATTTACGAGTTTTGAAACACGACACTTTTCACGGTTTTCGAATAATTTAAACGTTCATTTTTCTTCTCTTCGCGTGTATCATTCTAAATGTATGAATGTAAAGAAATATGAAAAATCTGTTTTTATTTTTTTTTTTTTTTTTTTTTTTTTTAATGAAAAGAAATAAGATATATCACAACTCACAAATCATGCTAACGATCCGTTACATAAAAAAACTGTATTATTTTTCTTAATAATTATCGATGTGCTAATTTGTAAGATTTTTTCAAATTAAAATAGTTTTTTTTTTTTAATATCAATTTAACACTCGTTTCTTTATAATATAATAATAAAATAAAAGTTCTTTACCGAAACAACACGTTGATAGAATTATATTCGATGTCGGTGTAAAAAATGTAAAAGGAAGGCGCTTACGATGACAGAAATATCGAAATAAGAAAAGAAAAAAAGAATAAGAGAAAGAAAGGTCAGAGAATTTTCCTATCAAAAGAAACCGCCCGAATTTTTCTTTCGCCGAAGTTACCTAAAACTGCGAGTAGGTAGAACGACCCTACTCTGCAGATGTCACCAATGCTAGAATACATATATTTATGTATATACATATATATAGAAGGAGAAGTTTAAAAAATGACCTGCCCTTTTAACTAAAGTTCTGTTCTCGTTTCAGTCTGCATTGTGACCTAACGTTTTCAGATTGTGTTAAACCTTTGATGTCGGCGTGAAAATTGGCCAAACACTCTAAGCCCACACACAACGCCTATATTTTCTTCCTCGAAATTCGATTCGTTTACAAATGTCATCAATCCTATATCTTTTTTCGTTCCTTTTAAATTTATATTTACGTTTCTTTCCGTATTCTCTGTTTTCTTTTATTATTATTATTATTTTTTTTTATATTTTTTTTATCTTAAATACAGAAAGAGAAATGGGAAGAAAATTTTTATATTAATAATTTATCAAAACGAAACGGTAAAAACGCGAAAATTGCAATATTTGTTAATCTTCTTCGTGAGAATATGCAAAATTAATCACGTACATCGATCTCGTTTAATTACGGAATACAAAAGAAATCGAGATAAATATATTGCTAACATAATCACGATTTTTTCACGAACGGAATTTAATTATAATATAATAATTCAAGTTTCTTTCACACGTTTTTTCTTCTTTCGTACCTGTATAATAAATTTTAAGAATATCTTATTAAAATACAAACGTATACAAGTTAACCCGATTCAAGAAAAATATTATTTTCTTTTCAAATGAATTTTACAAAATTCGAAAATGTCTAACCTGATCTGATAAACAATTAGAAGAATCATTAATTAATAAATATTTTAATGTCAGTAAAGTATTTAAGTTGAAAGAAATTTCATTTAATTCTTCACCTAATATATGTGCAACATTATGAAAAATACTAATAGCTACATTTTATACCAATTAAAACTCGTTTTATTACTTTTTAACGACGTTCATCAAACAGTTATTTGAACTTAAGCTCTTTCTCGTTTAGAAATAAACTAATTATAAATTTCCTTTTATAATTATACTACAATCCACGATATTTATTTATACCAACAATATGCCAACTTTTCTCATTAAAGTAAATTCTTTTATTTATGCGGTAATAACGAGCCATGGAAAGGTGGAAACTTAGGAAATTTAGGAAAGTACTTTCGAAAATTCGAAAACTTAGGAAAATACGTCAAGAGGGATTAGACATATTTCAAATGTTTCAAATGATTTTAAATCGATTAAATATTATTCCGTTAACCTGTAAATTGAAAGAGAGAAAAAAAGCATACTATACGGAATCTCGATAATATACACATACGATATAGTATATAAATAAAATATATAAATATATATATAATACAACAAAACAAAAATATATTTTTATATAAAAACAATTATTGAATAAATGTTTCTTTTATCGACAAAAAAAAAATGTAAATCAAATCGTGTCGAACGATAATTACTAATGATCGAGATTCCGTTAAAAAAAAAAAATAATAATAATAATAATAATAAAAAGTGTATAACTCACTCGCAGTGAGGCTGGCCGCAGCACTGAGTTGATTATGCGATGTCGTAGTTAGGGGATTGGCAGTTTGTCTTCTCGAGGGTGCGGCGCCGTATTGAGACGTTAGAGAAACATCGTTCGATGGCGAGACATACGTCCAGGTTGCCGCGTCACCACCAACATTCCCCGTATTATTTCCCGTAGTCGTTTGTTGAGACGAGTACGGCGGCGAATATCCACGAAAACTCGATCTTCCTCCAAAAGGTTGCGAGAAAGCAGGTAAAGCTTGATGAGTCACCGCTGAAGAAGATTTGCTACTACCATAATCTTCTCCGAGCGATGGCAAAGTTGTACTAAGCCCTGTTACTAATAAAATAAAATTATATATTTATTTTTAAATGATCTCTTATAATATACACTATAATAAAAATATCTACTTTTCATGTAATTACAAATAGATATAATTCTAATATTTAATATATATTAGATAATACAAATTTACAGAGAAATTTTCTATCTTTCTTGAAATCTTTTATTCTCATTTATATGTACAAAAAAATAATAATAATTCTTACCTTGGGCATTCCACAACTGGGGAGAAGTCGAAAGTTCCGTTGGACTATTCGCTATGTATGGCAAATTGTAACTGGGTGTTCCTGTACCAGCACCAATCGTCCCTACGCCTGCCATCGTACGATACAACGATGAACTGTAACACGACAAGTTTAAATGTTAGTCTCTATTCATTAAACGCATTTAAGCTCGTAATATTATTTTCTTTTTCTTCGTTTTGTTTAATCTGTCTAAAAGTATATATATATATGTATATATGTATATGATAGAACGCCCCTGCCCAAGGGAATTTGTAAACTCGTCGAACGCGTCTGCGTATCGATTGATTCAAGATCTGGATCATATCGTTCTATCTATTTCACGAGCGTGTTTTATATCAATGTATTACATATTAATTATTAAACCGTTTCAAATTAATCATCTAATTGTAAAACAATATTAAGTTCAGAGTTAAATTTTAACAATCTGTAGACATTAATCAGTCGAAAAAATACTTATTTAAATTAAAGAGAAAAAAAAACATACATTTTTCTAACAAAACTCTTACATAATTAACAGATAGAAATGGAATCTTTAAAATTACCTATTTTAAAAAAAAATGTACAAAAAATTATAAAATCGATTTCATCATTTTCTAGTGTAAAAGGTAAACACTACCGGAAATTCCTTCGCGGGAGCCCGGAAACACAGCTTACTGCACTTTCTTTCGAGACTTAAGTTAGATGCGGGCACGTGCCCGATACGGAACGCGATTTTACCTTTTTTTTTTCTTCCCTTTCCTACCCTTCCCTTTTCTCCACCGATCCCTATCTCTATCCGTCTAACCCCCTCTTTGTCGTTCTGTTTAACTCTACTCTTTCTTTCTATCTTGATGACCCCCATAAGCAGAACTAGTCGGCAGCAGGTCGAACGACACAACTACTCCATTAACATTTAACCATGTACTCTCTTTCTCTCTCTTTCTGTCTCTTATTTTCTTGTATCCATAGTTGCACGTAAGTTTTCCTTTGCTAACTATGGATAAAAGAGACAGAAAAACAAGTTAGAGGGAGAGGGAGAAAAGAAAACAGAATGGGAGGTCTCTTCTTTACTACCTGAATTTTCTGCAGAAATGCAGAAAAACTGATAGTTCGACTAAACTTCTGCACTTTTAAAATAAAGGTTATTTGTGTTGATCTGTTTATATATATATATTATATATGTATACCTGAGAAAATGCTTGAAACACTCTCACGAGGATCCCAATAAGTGGATCACTATCGATCCTTTTTGTCTACCTCACCTAAAATATCTTTGAAACTTATCTGAATACTGAGAAAAGCCGAAAAAGCAGAGTAATTCCTTGGAAGACCTCCCGAAGGGTTTTTTTCTATCCCTTACTACTACTACAGTTCTTTCTACGTCATTACCTTGAACGTTTCAACTTTGGAATGTACTTATGACTCATCGCTTACAGTTTACTTACTTCTCAGGAATTTGTTACTAAACTATCGCGAACGCGTTCAAAGCTCATCTCAAAGTGACCACCTACCCCTCGACTAAGTGACGATTTTCCGTATACCACTTTCTACTCGATAACAACATCGACTCCTTTAAATATTTTCTATTTTTTTTTCTTAAAAGAAAAAAGAAAAAAGGAACTCCCTGTGCTCTTCCTTCAAAACAATTCGACGAAGTACTAAAGACACGAAAAACGATAACGTGACTTATATTTGAAAAAACATTCTGTATTCATTTAAACATACGTTGTTTTTTCTACAAAATATTTACATGGATACAAAATGAAACTTCTAACGTAGTCAAAAACGTAAAAAGAAGTTAAACAAAATTGTAAAATGACTTACATAATTTTATAAAGAAAAATACCAAAAAAATATATATATATATATATATTTATAAAGAGTATTTTAAATGATATGAATATAAAACAAAAATATTATAATTAAAAAATGTTAACATAATAAAAAAAATAAAATATGAATATACGATATAAGACCTACCAAATATCAAATGATCGATACACAAGTCACAGTGCGCAATATAAAGATTTAAAGACAAAAATTGTTCAAATCCAACGTGACTCTTTCCCTTCCCATTGCACATCTTCGAAAGTTTCTAAGTACTTTATCTCCAGCTCGCTATTTAGCCTCTTTTAAAGCAAGCAAGGTAACGTTTTACCGTCAAACAAACGCGAAACAAGCGCGAGCGTACGCACGTGAAGATGTCAATACGGACACGACCTTGAGGAGCCATAAAACGTTGCGAGCACGTTTCGGTACATCGATACGTGCCTTAAACTGTCTTTTCAACTTTTCGATTTCAACGATGATTTTCTTTTCTTTCTTTTTTTCTTATATTATTTAAAAAATTTTTTTTTTTTTGCATTTCATCTCAATCCAAAATTAACGACGATTCTTAGCAACAACCGCAATTTTTATTTTCAATTTTTAATCACAACGAGATTCTTTTACATAAAAATTAAATTAATATTATTTAATTAATAATTGAAAAATGATAAATTAAGATTGAGTATTATAATTAAATTAATTATTATATTCTCTAGAAATATAATAAAAATACGAATGAGAGATACAAAAGACAGGATTTTCAATGATTGCCAATTGAATGAGGCTCGTGCTACTATTGGCTGATAAAACGTGAATGCATACCAACGCAAAGTGGTAGAATGAATGGAAGATGTTGTTAACGGTACCAATTGTCTCGGAAATTGTACGGAAAAGAAAAAGAGAAAGAGAGAGAGAGAGCGTAAGAAAAAATACAAATATAAAAAGGAAACCTACTCTCTTAGAGTACGCGTTTGCAAGCAACTTGTAAAGTACTGCACCGAAAAGAGGAAGCAGAAGTCTTTAGCAAGAACCTAGCACGCGTGCCTTCTGTTTTAAACGTTCGCGGGTGCGATTATTTTAACTTAAAGCGTCGCTTGCCAGTGCAACGATGCGAACGAAAAACTACGACGGCTAATGCGTTTCCTCGATGCAAACCAATGCCGGAAAAAAGAAGTTCCCTTCTTTTACGTGAACAGTTAAATTTCCCTTTTTTACTCTTCCTTTCTGTTTGTCTGTCTCTCAATAAATTAGTACCGATTTTTATTGCAACTCTTTACTTAACAAAATTACAATTGATTTAAAAAAACATCAGAGAGAAAGAAAACAAAAACTAATCTCTTTAGGAAGGGCATATTTTTGCCCCCTCTTTTTTTTCTCAACGAATCGCATCGATTTTTTTTTGACAAATTTTGATTCGTCCAAATTTAACAAATAAAAAAGGGTTGGATACTCTTCGAGATTTTTCTCAATTAATTTTAACATAAGAAATAAAATAAACGACCAACCCCGGAGATGTTAGTTTCTTCATGTGAATATAAAAATATTTCTCATGTTTATATCGATGTATAAAAAAAGAATAAAAGAAATAATAAAAAAATTAAGGCAATGATAGAAATGGTACTATATAAATTTCTAATGCTTATATATGTAAATACATTATTTATTATACGTATATTTGTTTACGCGTGGGTGGAGAATTCAATAGCACGATATATCGTGTTACTTCTAAGTATTTCTATACCACGTTTATATATATATCGAAAAACATAATCTTGATTTCCTTTTCCGTTTGATTTCATTGGAAAAGCAAGAGTTAAGAATAAAAATTCTTTAAATTATCTTTACTTTTTGTCTTTTTCTTTTAAAATATAATTTTTATTTTTAAAACGAAGGACAATTAAAATGTTATCAAGTAAAAGAAAGATATGTGAAACGTGTCGTAGTTATTATTAACAAAAAAAATTTTTCACATCTGTTTATATTGTTACATCGTCGAGATCGAAATTTTTTCTCTTTGATCACGTAGCAGTTAGTAGAAATAAAAAAAAAAATAAAATAAAAGAAAATAAAAGAGTAAGAGAAACAAAGAGAGAAAGGAAAGAGAGAAAGAGAGAGAGAGAGAACACGTTGATCTCTTTTCACTCTAAAGGAATGCAAACTTCGCGAAATCCAATATACGATACTTGTGATGATGATAGGGTTAGAGCCCTACTCAACTCCTCGTATTATCTAAATTCACCGACCTGATAAGGAACTTCTCACGATACCCTTCAAATGTAAAGTATGGAAAGGTAAGAAAAAATATATAAAAAAAAGAACCTCAAAATACATATTTAAAAAGGAACCTTAATATATATATTATATATATATATATTTTTAAGATATTGGAAATTCTTCGAAATATATATATATATACTTGGAAAAACTCGGAAAAAAAAATAAAAAATTTGGAAAAAAAAGAGAAAAAAAAATAAATATAAGAAAAAAGATATATGTGCATGCAAGTTTATACGTGTATATGTATATATGTATATATATATATATATATACATATGTGTTTTATACCTAAAAGGTTCCGTCTAATGTTTGCTCAGTTTAGATAAAGATTAGGAAGCCCAGAAAGAAGCAAACACTCGATCGATGGATGTCTGTTACACTAAACGTTTCTAGCCGTGTAACAAACATAAGAAAGAAACACAAATAATAAATCAAATAGGATTGATATTTTTAGACATGCGATAAGCATTGGGGCGTTAGGGCATACAAATTTGAATGCATTTTTTATCGGAAAAAAATATATCCAAAAGTACAATATCATATAAATATAATAAGTATATATTTAAGTGTAGATTATAAATTTTTATTGGTAGACATGTTATTTTTTTTTTTTTTTTTTAATTTTTCTTCCGAAAAAGTTTTTATGTGCGTATCGTTAATACATTAAAAATTGATAAATTGACATGATAATTAATTAAAATTCATTAAACGAAGCTGTCTAAAAGGTATAATTTATTTTCCTACTTATTTTTCCACAAATTATTAATTATTCGCTTTGATTAGCCTATCGTTCGATTTTTTTTTTTTTATTTTGGTAAATTTTTCGTAACTGTAAAAGATTATACTCCAGGAGCTTGTTTACGATCGCGATATTGTCGCAACCTTTATCGCTATAGTATAGTTACGATGTTTTCGTGAATATCTAAGAGATATAATACGAAACGAAATATTCAACAGATATTTGAAAGACACTTGTTCGATGAATCCAATGAAAAAGATGAAGAAACATTTCGAAAAATGAAATAAAACAAATCAATCGATTCGAACGAAATTATCGATCTATTTACCACGAACGTATAACGCGATTAATTATAATTAATCGTAATCGTTTTAACGCGAATTCGCGCCAATTCCACGCAGATACCGATTTATCGCGTCTATTTTAAACGATCTCGAAAAAAATGCGATTATAACAAACGTTTAATTATACTTTTAACTTTCAACGCGTAAAACAAAACAAATTTACATATATACCATACGAAATATGTATATTATATACACGACTGAAAAGATAATGAAAAAAAAAAAAATACATATAAAATTTATGATTATCAAATAAATAAATAAATAAATAAATAAATAAATAAAATTCACGCAAAGAAAAGGTAAGACTCACTGCATTTTCCATCGACGAGCATAAATGACGTGTATCGTGTTCCTCTATCTTCTTCCCTCTCTTTATTCTTCTCTCTCACTATCACGAGAAGTAATAAGAAAAATGAAGAGAAGAAAAAAAAGGGATCGTAAAGAAAAAGAAATAAATAAATAAAATAGAAGGGAAGAAAGAAATTCTATGGATCAAAGGGAATGCCGATAAAAATAAATACAATCTATATTATATATATATATATATACATATATATATATACCCAAGAAAAAAGTAGAATAACAAAGGAAAAGGAAAAATAAAAAAATACAGATTATGTACGAACGTAGAAATGATACGATAAATGTTCCTCCCGTATCACTCGACGAGTGGACAAGAACTGAACAGAATATAACCTGGTGTGTAGCACGAAACGTCGCTACAATGACGATGGAGGACCTCGAAGAAGAAGGTGGTCAGGATTTCTCCTCCTGCGGTATACTCTTCTGCCTCTTACTCACTCTTATTCACTCACTAGCTTTTTCTCTTTCTCTTTCTCTTTCTCTTTCTCTTTCTCTCTCTCTCTCTCTCTCTCTCTCTCTCTCTCTCTCTCTCTCTCTTTCGTTCTTTCTTTCTTTCCTTTTTTCTTTCTTTCTTTTCTGTTCCTCTGCCTGTCTCTCTTTTACTCATTTTTTTTTCCTACCACTTAATCTATCTTTTTCTCTCTCCCCCTTTCTGTTTCTTTCTCTTTCTCTCTCTTGCGGCTTTCCCTTTGAGTATCACCACCGACTACTAGTCGTTTTGCCCCCTCTACTCGAGCCTCCCCCTCTTTAAATGCCACTAACACAAAGCTACAACACCCTACTCAACCATCTTCCTGCCCCTATCAACGTTAACCATGCTTCTCCCACTACTCCCATATACCTACACATACTTATTAACACTATTCTCTTCTCCTCTCGTATCCTCTTATCAACTCTTTTTCTCCGTTTTACCGTGCGTATCCTCTCTTCGTCTGACACGATGCAGAGAATGCAAGGTCTGCCAGAGGAAAAGGAGTAAAGAGGGGTGTTGTATATTATAGTGGTGGAGGTGGAGGTTACAATCGGACCTATCGATAATTTTAAAGCGTTAAATATGTTATATATACAAATATGTATATATTTATCTTTCTATAAAATATTTATTTCTAAATGAAATAGTAAAAAATTATTTTTAAATATTCTTTTTCTTTTCTTTTCTTTTCTTTTTTTCAATTAATAAAAACGTACATTCGCGATCGTAAATTTATAAACGCAAGTAATTATCTATAAATATATAAATGAAATAATATAAAATAATATAAAAAAAAAGTAATTATGTATAAATGTTAATAAATAAATTGAAAAAAAAAAATACAAGTGTAATATATATTACGTCATAATAAATAATAAAATATATATATAAATAGTACAATAATACAAAATCATAAATAAATGTAAAATGTACAAATGTATTCTTTTACTTATTCTTATTATTTAATAATTAAATCGGAAATTCTACGTCAAACTACGTAAAAGGAACAAGAGAAGAAGAGACAAGCATTTAAAGGAAAGTATCGTTTGAAAAGAAATAAAGTTCAACATGTGAAGGGAAATAAGATGTTCAACTTCACGCACGCGCGCTTTCAACTCGTGCCATTTCCGCCAACAGGCACGTGCCCTTAAGAATGGCCACATGCAAAGCCATAAATGACCAGTCATTGTTATTTTCAATTTTCTGGCTACCTAAAACCCGCATATCTTTTTTCCTTTTATAATACAAAAATATAGTTTATCTGTTCCGTTTTCTCTACTGTTATTCAAATAGATGTTAAATACAATATTTTTCTCTTATGTTTTTGAGTAGTGATGAACAATGAAGGGGTTCAAATGTTTTAATGATACATATAATTAAGAAAGTACAATTTTTCCTTAACAAAAGCATATTAAATTTATAATTCAGCTCGAATATATTTATATATAATTAATGATTTTATATATGTTAACTGGCAAAAGTTGGAAATCCGATATTCTATATAATGCCTAAAGCTAGCCGGCAATGTATGAAATGTATTTATATTTCACAGATTTCCTAGGTATTCTATAGAATGCCAAATGAGAAACCGGCAAAGTATGAAATACATCTCCGATTCGTTACTAATATCAAGTTTCTTATTATTTTTTTCAGAATAATACTTGTACTTTTATTTTTTATTATTTATACATTTATATTATATATTTAATATTTATTTTTTCAGAATAGCATTTGTATTTTTGAGGATCATTTATATAATAGCCTTATCAGGACCTTTTTTCATACTTTGCCTAAATAGTATTTGTCAATTTATAGAATGCCGATTTTTCATACATTGTCTGTAACATATGTATTAGAATTCTCAGTAAGTAAGACGGTGCCGTCCGGCGACGGACTGTAAACTTTGCGATGAATCACAGCAAACATCTTTCGAAGAGAGGCACAACCAATGATCTCGTTCTGTTATGACCTATATATTCAACAAGTTAGACTTTAATGTTTATCGAAGACTTTGTTCTTTCAGGAGACTGAATCATATATTAATATGATGCTTTTGTTACTAAGATATTCAATATACTTGGATATACGTATATACATATATAAAAACCTTGAGAAAGAGAATCACTTTAAAATAAAGTGATTCATTTGAAATGCCATAATGATTACTTGGTTATAATAGTTGAATTCAAAAATGGTGGACCAGTCAATCATGTAAACGAAGTATGTCGATTGAATGAATCCAATAGCACGAAGACGAACAAATACATATAATATATACAAAATAAGTGTTATACATATACGTCTTCCTGTGTGGTAGTGTAATGAAAATGATCACGGTCGTCCGGTCTCTTTTTTTCTCTCTGTTTCTTTTCTAAGAATCAAAAGGGGAGACATGCGATACAATCGACAAATCATTTAGATCGGTCGATAAACTTTCTTATCGAATTCTGATATCAATGTTAGACTGGTAAAATCAAATGAAAATGAAAGTCACTGGTATGTGTATGTGCAAAAGGTTTAATAAATTTCTAATTAATTATACCATCTACAATCCTTTTTAATACTAACTCGATCTAATATATAATCTAAAACATAAATTTTTTCTTAAAATTTAAATAATATATATATATATATTTATTGATAGGTGGCACTAAAAAATATACTTTATAAAAAAAAAACTGAGGACAATAGATGCATTGAATGTTTTATAAGAATTTCTATATGTATTTTATTTTGAAAATAACCAAATGATAAGTACGAAAATATAAATAGAAAGAAAGGGAAGCTGATGTCTATCGTGAATCAACAAACAGAATACGATTAGGTCTTTCTAAGCTTTCGCAAGAACTGTTATCCTAGGACCAAATAGCCATATAGTTTTACATCTTTAGTTTTGCTTTGTTTTCGGCTTCGTATCGGTTACATCCCCAGCAAGCCCTTCAGCCGGTATATAAATATTTTTGTGTTCGATATATATATGTATATGCGTTCAGTATATACCGAACGCAACGGTATATATATATATATATATATATATACGGTATTTAATATATAAATTTATATTATACACACATATATATGTATATATACATACATACATACATACATACATACATACATACATACATACATACATACATACACGATATTTACTTAATGTCCTAACCAACGTGAACTTTGATCATACGAAATATTTTTGAACGATGACCCATGACGTTGCGACAAAAGAGAAATTAGAAACTTTTCCTGCAGTATACCTTTTTTCCGTTTGTTTATCTGATAATAATAAAAATAAAATCTAAACATCGAAAAAAAGAATTTTCCTCTTTGTTAGAAAGTAATGTAAACAAGGCAAAGGTAAAAAATTTCGAAATATATAAAAAAATTTGAAAATACCATTGCTATTAAAAAGCCATAAATCAAAGATCGTTGTTAGTCATTATTCTCTCGGATTTTCTTGAGTAATATTTCTTTTGATTTAAATCGTCTAGACACTTTTTCCGATCGAAAAAAAAAAGAACTGGCGTCAACGAACCCGATGACGCATATTGTCGATTATAACGAGTCGTCTGAAGCAACAGTTGTCGCCAGAAAAAAAAAGTACAAAGAAAAAAAAAGACAAGAAATAGTAAATTTTAAAATATTAACAATAGCTAGACATACCTTGATAAACTACCACTCGGTGAATGTGGCGTCGTCGATCCGTGATCGTGTTCTTGATGATGATGTCCAGTAGTAGTCGTGTGATGATTGTAGAGAGGATCTAAGTAAATTTGATCAGTAACACGATCAGTATCCTGAAGATTACCGTGATTAGCTTGTACAGAGGTGGGAGGTTGCATTGCAGTAAGATGGGTGAAGGATTGTAGTCTTCCTTGATCGGCCGGACTAAAGGCACTAGGTCCATCAGACGAAGAGTGTCGATGTGGCGAAGAAAGATGATCCTCGTGTGGACTACGACTGGAACCTGGCGAACCTCTCGCTCTGATAGGTGGAGAATTACCATCGGTTACCCCACCACTCGCACTCGTTACACCACCTCCTGCACGAATTTGATGTTGAAGATAGGGATCGTTCGGTAGCACATCCTCCATATGATGAGCATTCGCGTGCTGATGATGTTGCTGATGTTGTTGTTGTTGCTGATGAAGATGATGAGACGTACCGTCACCATTTCCATTATTGGCACCAGTACCGTTAGAGCCGAGATTTGGAAAAAGCACACCCAAACTAAAATCCCCACGCGCACTTCTCGAAATACCACCAACTCTATCAACTTCTTCTTCATTTTCTTGATGGTGTTGTTGATCTTCTAAATGACGATGAGAACCATGTTGTTGTTGTTGTTGATGATGATGAATTTCGGATAACTGATGATGGTGTTGCTGTTGCTGTTGTTGCTGTTGTTGTTGTTGTTGTTGCTGTTGTTGATGATGATGATGATGATGTTGTTGTTGTTGTTGTTGGTGATGATTATTAGAATGATCCGTAGCACTCGGAGAAAGCGTTTCTCCACTGTAACGATGCATCGTGGAATGAGGCATGTGACTGACAGTACGAGTTCCTTCACTAGGGATAGAGACCTCAGTTGAATGCCGGCTATCCCCTCCTTCAGGAACCTGGACTTCGCCTCGACCGAGCTGAACGTACTGAGTTTGTTGCGTCTCTTCTGGCGACTGTTGGTGTTGAGGGATGTGATGGTGATGGTGGTGGGGGTGAGCGACCCGTTGCTGCTGTTCCTGCCCCTCCTTCTCTTCAATGTCTCCGCCTCCAAATCGTGATGAACCCTCTTCTAAATAGCTTCTATATTTTAATATATAAGGGGTTGAAAACAAAAAAGAATACCTTTTAGAAAAATCTTAGCGTAAACAATTAATTAATTCATATTTATATTAATTCCTAATATACGTTTATGTTTATATATATAAAATTTATTAATTTCTTTTTTCTTTATTACAAATCAATAATTAAGAAATGAATAGAAAGTTACGAAATTTAACAGCAAACTCTAAATAGAATTTATTCCGAGCTCGTAATATAGATAACATGAAAATGATTTTCATAGATCACAACGATGATCATTCTCGATCGTTTATCCGTACTCATCGATTCTTCGATAAAACGGATTCTTTATCGATATGACCATCGAGCTTTATCTATTTAGTACACTTATGAAACGTAACTCGTGCTGATATCGATGCAATTCTATTTGTGTTTCTTTCTTGCAATTTTTACAAGATTTCGTTCAATAAATCAAAGCGTGAATAAAAGTAAATCTATGTGTAATATAAATCAATGAAAATATTTGAAATAAAATAAAATCATCTCTATTCGTTGATTAAAAATATTAAAAACATATAATTAGCATATTTACCTTTCATGAATAATGTGATCTTCTTGATAACTAAGTTGATGAAGGGTATAATTAGAATTCCGATCATTTTGATGATTGTTAGAAACACTCAAAGCGATCACTTCTGTTCCAGTTGGTTCTAGCATGACGCCATTTTCGATTTCTGAGTGACCCGCCTCAAGCACGCCCACATCATCCCCGCCTTCCTGTTTGACAATAAACCCAATCTCCTGCTGTTGTTTTCGTTGTTGTTGAAGAATTACTTGATTATTAACCATCTCGTCTTTTATCGTTAGACTACCTCCTTCAGTTTCGAGACTTACATCCTCCACGACGGCTTCTCTCACCGTCTGAGAGTTGTGCTCCATCGTTCCATGCACGGAATCAACTAATATACAGACAAATATAATCGTTCTTACAAAATCTCATTTATAATATAATTTCTTAACTGATTTTATATGTAAATATATATAAGAAATTATTTAACAATAAATAAAATATACTCATATAAATATTGTATTTTTAATTATTATCAAAAAAATCAATTAAACATAATTTATATAAAAAATGTTAAAATGTTAATAATTGAACGATTGATTATCAAAACAATGTTTACTCGACGACGTATCACTTCAGATATGATAAAACAAGAAAAAGGATTATAGGTAAACATTAAAAAAACGTAAACTTTTTTCAAAGTATACTCTAGAAGTAATATCATGTGTAGGTGTATATATTTATTATAACAGAAGGAATATAGAGAGAAGAAATATTAAACTAATAAGGAAAGTTCGTTCAAACGAGTGGACACATCAGGGTTGACACGGAGAAACTGTTGCTATCCGGTATATTACAAAAATAACCACGGGTTGCCTTATCTCTTTGTCTTTCTCTTTTTCTCTCTCTCTCTCTCTCACACACACACACACACAGACACACCCTCTTTCTCCTTTTTGCTCTGTGTTCTACCAATGATGGCACTCATGTACTCACGCACTTGTTCCATAGCGAATAAATGAACATAATCACACGTATAAAAACAAATATATACGTGTGTATATTTATATGTATTTGTTCATACGTGTGTGTGTGAAAGAGAAAGAGAGAGATAGAAAAAGAGAAAAGAGAAGAAGAAGTAAAATGTGTATAATGAACACGAACGAACGTTTAGCAAATGATTTTCTTTCTCTCTTTTTTTTTCTTTTATTTCTCTTCTCGTTGATAAAAATATTATTTTTAATCATTAGGGGTCAAGCTATGGCAGGACCACCGAGCATAGGCCACGTCAATGATCCTAATGTCAAATTGCACTCTTTCTCAATCGAATGACTCGAAAATCTCGTATAATAAGAGATAATTTTTGAAATGAAATAAGTCATATATAATTAATTTTTGTTTTCTTTCAAAATTATTTGACATTGATCGAACGAGAATGATTTTGTTTTTTGCTTTCTTATTATTAATTTTTATATATATATATATATATAAATTTTTTTTTAAATAAATAATTTTATTCCAATAAAATCGATAGTTACGTCTCGATCGTTTAACATTGAGTCGACCTTATTGACATTACCTAATCGAATTGGAGAGGTCAGGCTCGGTAAGATTATCTCCACCCATACGGTGGTTTCAGACGAATTTTATTAAAAAACATATTTTTTAGTAAAAGATCCAAGTACGAATCGTACCATTGGATAATGCGTGAGTGTTTTTTTTTTGTTTTTTTTTTAAGAGTCATTATTTTAAATATCTATATTATATTTATGTATTTATAATAATATAAGTTATTTCTATTTAACGTGAACACAAAATTTGAGAGATAATCATTTTATCGATTTCGCATACACATAAAATTATTCTATGATTATTTATTTTACATATTTACTTTATTTACGAGGATCATATATGTATATRTATATATTTGAAAAAATTACAAATTTATTTATACAAATATTTATATTTGTTTGTCACGAGATACCTATACCTACACGTATTACATATCTAAATATACATATGAAATATATAATAAATTATATATAAAATGTAATATATATATATATATGTATTAAGAAAACTTCGTAACCCAAACAGTGAAATTTACATCGTTTCTTTATCTTATTGGAGAGTCCATTGTTGGTTTAAATCCAGCAAGCAGATGCCAAGCCGCGACCCCGATTAATCATTCGATGAAGAAAATATACGCGTCAGCTATAGACACTTGCGTATCCTCTGAGAATGATCTTTTTCATATTCTCTCTCTCTCTTTCTTTCTCATTATTATGAAGAAAGCATTAGGAGAAATAAACGCAACAGCGATTATTCTACAAAAGAGCACGATTATAGTGGCTAATTTCGTGAAATTGTCATTATTAACAATCAATTTTCTATAAATAAATGTTTTTTTTATAAACTGCTTCTTTTGTATGATATTTTTCGAGAAATAACTACTAAATAATTCGAAATTTCGAATATTCATCGATAATTTTATCGATCAATAATGCTAATTAAATTTCCAGTCAAAGTTACATGAACCATAATTGCTATCATATAAATGAAGAAAAAAAAAAATGATATTATTTAAATACAATTTATGAATTTCGATGTAAATAAGTATTTATAGTACAACTATATTATGTATTGGGCTTTTCTCATCGTACGAGTTGAAGATTTTTGCAAAACCAAATGATTAATTAATATGATAAACGTGTCTTACAACCGTGAGACGACTACAACGAAATGTAATGATAAGTTTAAAGAAAAAAAAAAAAGAAGAGAAAGAGATATATCGAATAAATGATAAAAAAATTTGTGAAAATAATTCAACTTCGAAAATGTTCATATCTCTCATGACTAATCCCAAGAACGATAAAACATCTTTTTATGAGATTCTACTTGTTAATCCAGAATTATTTGGACTTTATTTTAAAACCGTCACAAAATATAATAATTATTTTTGTTAAAAAAATATTACAATATGATTTTATTCAACAATAAATAAATAAAATATTCAAATGCTTCATTTCCATTCTAATCTTTCTTTTTTCCAATTTAATTATTTCTATTATAACAACTTTTATTTTTTTCATATATACTTTCATATATTATTGATACTGATAAACAATAATTAAATATTTGTAATATATATGAATTTATTTTGTCTCTTTTTCTTTTCGTTTCAAGATAAATAGGAGAAAAAAAAAGGTGATGCCACGAAACGGTAGCAAAGAACGAGTTTTAAAGTCACTGAACGAGCGGAAGAAGTTTTGTACATTGAGGGCAGAGGTTACAGTTATCTCTTTAAGGCCCCCACAAAAACACTCTCTGTTATCCGCAATATATTTATATATATATATGTATATAGAAGCACGAATAAAACGCGCGGTATAGATCGATGACGTTTACGACGAGATTTTCAGAGATTGAATAGCTTCTTTATCTTGACCTCTCGTCCTCTCCCCTAATTCTCGGTCCACGTTAAAAAATGTCTCGATTATTATCATCATTATCGTCATCATCATCATCATCATCCACTATACGACTTATCATCAAATTTCGAATTATAATAAAGACAATTTCTTTTTCCACAAATAATAAACATTCTTCATATTTTTTTTTTTTTTTTTTTAATAAAAAAATATTTTCGTTTCCTCTCTAATGTTAATCTAAATTAAATAAAAAGAGAAATAAAATTTGATTATGAGTGAAACAATAAAGAACTAGAAACGACACAGTAGTTGTAGTAACGTGAACAGGGAAGAGCATTGTAGAACGTTACCTACCTTTCTACCTTTTCTATTCTGATAAGAGGACCAGGTGTTCTCACATAACAGTTGTAACAATAAGGAAGAAAGAACCGAGGATAAAGAAATGTGTAGCAATGAAAATTTAAGAACTACGTTTGTTTGATTTTTTTTTTAGTTATTCCCACTTTATATAATACTTTATGATACAATTCAATTCAGATTTATGATACACGTTAATATTTCAAGGTCTACTGTAGATGAAAGATTTTACTATTTACACTAATATTTTATGATTTAATCTTCTTCTATTTCAAACGGGTCCAATTTCTGTTTCTTTGTTATATATCGCATTAGTAGATTAAATTTTTTCTTTCAATAAAGAAAATAGAAATAATACTAAGTTTCAATGAATACAAAGAACGGAGTAATAAAATGGAAATAAATAAAAAGGAAATAAATATTCCCTTAAAATCTATTTTCGTCAATATCTTACTGTTAATATGTGAAAGGCAAACATTGTATCAAATGTTTCGTCAATAATATATAAAAATGTTGCTAATAACCCCCGATATGGTTGATGGGACATTAAATAAAGCTATATAAAAAAGAAATATATAAGTTTCGTTTTTTTTGAATAAACAAAAAAAAATACGAAATATTCTAATTACTTTTATATTTTATATAATTTTATATATGTGCATATATTCCATATACCTTAGCATTATATAATTTCCAAAAATGTAGGAAAAGCTATTAGCCTTTATACGTTAGAGCATCGTATAGAATATAAAGTGTTATTTAGGTAAAACATTATAAGTGTTTATTGCTTGAGATCTACTGTGACCCTTTTTTATTTACTTTGGGTCATCATCGAAATTTAAATGCATTTCAGAAATAGAAAGACCATGCCACGTCATACTGAAAACATCATTAGCAGGAGTATTTTCTACTTTTCTGTAGTTACAAAGGTCTAAATATTTTGAACCTTGAGTTCTCTGCTGAGAATAGCATTCACCTGCTTTACCTAACTGCTAATTCAACCTGTTGAATACTCCATTGTACAAATAGGTCAAAGTCTACAATAGGAAGAGTGGGGAGGCGTAAAGAAGAAAAAGAAAAAGACAAATCTAACACCAGTGTAAATTTGATAAATTTAATATATATTTCTGGAAATATTCGAAGTATTGTGTGACGATTAAAAACCGACAAGCAACCGGATTAATTTATTAGCGTATCTTCGTATCGTATTTTGATACGATGTAAATTTCATCCGTCCACATCGATACGCAACGGTAATACGATACCGAAAATACCCAACAAATGAACACGCACCTTTTATTTAATTTTGTATTTTTTTTTTCTTTTTTTCTAATAAAATGTAATAATCACCTAAATATTTCAATCAAAAAAAAAAACCATAATTAATATAGTGACATAAAAAAATATTTCATAATATACCTGAAATACTTCAATGGCCTATTTCGAATCAAATTGAAATCCAAAATTATATTATCAAGCTTACAAAAAGTAATTACAATGTAAACTAATTATGACTTGTTATCGTTTGATTATAATTATCTTTTAAACTAATCAATAATATAATATTCAAATTAAGAAAGAGTGAAGATTAGTCAATTGACTC